ATGTGGTTTTTGGTTTGATGACACACCCTCAACATGGAACACTTCTCTGTGTTCAGATTTTAATTCAAGTTCTTTATTCAGAAGAGGATTGTGAATTATTTCAACAATGAGATCACTCCTACCATACTTTAGAGCATTTCTTATGTCTTTATATTTATCTCCTGGAGCATTAAGTAGGCCAACTACCTTCTGTTCATCAGAAATTTTCTCATCATAGTTTGCTAAGTCTTGTGTGATCCTATTAAACCTATCCATATTATATCCCGTATCAAGATTAGAATCAAACTTAAAACTAAAAAACTGTCTCCAAAGAAAACATTTATTTGGTACAGTCTTAGTGAGGTAGTGTTTTTCTAAGGCAGTCCACAATTCAACGGCAGTTTTAGTTTCTCCTACTTTCCTAATCACAGTATCAGATAAGTGTAGAAACAAAGTGCTCCAAGCTAGTTCATCTTGTTCAGTTTTCCTAGCTTCAGATAAGGTTTCTGGTCAAAATTCATCAATAGCCTTAGCATATTTTAACTGTAACATAAGTGCTTTTATTTTCTAACGCTAGAGACTAAAGTCTCCTTTGCCATCCCAAATTTGGACATCTACCTTAGAGTTCATGGTGTGCTATAGTGTGAAATTGTTCACAAGTATGATAAAACAGATATATCACATGGTAATTCAGTCAACAGTATGTCACAAAGATCACTGTCTTATTATTTCAATTTTAGATTATGTATAGATTATGTTTAAGTGTGATATGTACAGAAGTATTTCAACCAAATTAAGACACATTCAATATACAGATCACTAAGCATGCAATGAATTTAATCACATAAACTTACACACAGTAAGTTACCAAAAATTGTAAATGCAATGTATGTACCTTTAAAGCAATTATTCTTAGGCAGTTCAACACCTGAGAAGATCAATTTAAGTATTAGTACAATTTACATAGAATGTACAAGAATTTAATTATGGAAATATAATTTTTGGTTTTATTATCTACACACAGTGAGAATTTTTTATTTTTTTTAAAAACAATTTTGAAGATTCCAGGTTTCTTGAACCGAAGCCCTAATCCCCAAAGTTTCTAGGGTTCTCTCAGGGAACCCTAGACAGAGGTAGAGTTAGAGGAGGTTCTGTAAAACTCTAGTTTTAGAAAAATGATTTTATTACCAAAACAATACTCCCAAGAACTAAATGTACCAACAATTCAATACAAAAAATCTTATTAATCACAAATTCAATGTCTGCAGATTGTAAGTACCACAAAACAGACAAGGAGCGTCTGTGAATTTCACCAAGAAACAGGTTAGCTTACTGCTTACAATATACTCAAAGGTTATCACTATACTGCAGCATTTACAAAACACAATAGGCTTTTTTTATTTTGTAAACGAAGATCAACACCAACACTGCAGGTGATCAAGTCCTACAGTATCAAGAACTTTCTTTCCAGTTATAAAAACAGCGCCAGCCGGAGTTAAGAGGACTCCACAACCAACAAAAAAACTTCGATTTCTTAAAGAAAAGCGACACCCACACTGATTATTCAAAAGAAAAATGGAGAAAATTTAAAAAATAATGTTGGTAGATCTTGAAAGATCTGTCGTTTTCCTTTCGGCCAGTGAACGAAATTTTAGATCCTCAACTAAAAACGTGACTGAAAACAGCAAAGAAAAAAAAATTCCAAGCTTTGATATCACTGTAGGAACCTAGGAACGTTTTAAAACCATCAAAAATCGCAAAACTAAAAATCAAGATTTGTAGATCTGAAAAACAGTAAAAGAACACAAGCGATTTTTGGCCTAAGCCTCGAGGTTCAGCGATTTGTCAGATCGCCTCAAGATTTGTAGATCTGAAAAACAGTAAAAGAACACAAGCGATTTTTGGCCTAAGCCTCGAGGTTCAGCGATTTGTCAGATCGCCTCAAGATTTGTAGATCTGAAAAACAGTAAAAGAACACAAGCGATTTTTGGCCTAAGCCTCGAGGTTCAGCGATTTGTCAGATCGCCTAGTCCCCGTTGAGCATCCATGAAGGAATAAGCTCGAATTCACTAAATCACCAGCCCAAAATTATAGCAGTTTTGAGTTACAAACGGAACACACAATTCCAGCTACAACAACAACAAAATCCCCTCAACAACACGAAGAACTCACACAAGAGTTCATAACATCACACATATTCTCAACCAACAACAGAAAATCGACAAGATCCAAGATGAGAGAGCCAAAGTATAGAGAGAATTTTTAACTCAAAGGAAAGCTGCGTAAAATGAGAGCAAGCAAACCCTAGGCGTTTTAGTTTCTTTTATATGAAAGAAACAAATCATTTGATTCAATGGTCCAGCAATTGCCAAATGTCGAGATCTAGTGAAAGTCGTTTTTCACAACTGAAAAACGTGTTTTTCACAACTGAAAAACGTGTTTTTCCTTTAAACCAATTGAGCTTCCAGATTATTCTTTCTTTTGGGCCATTAAACCGGGTCTTGGGTTGGGCATATTAACTTTGGGCTTCAAAAAGGCAGCAACCCAATTTCTACACACATCTATAAGGTTTCATTCTAAATGGCTGTGCCACTTCTTTCAATGGCATATGGGAGTTATGTGACCTAGGAGGGGGTAATTCTGTTGGTTCTTCAAACGCCGTTGGAAATTTGTGAATAACCTTCATTTATCTTGTTAGGTATATCCCCACCTTTCTCCTCCTTGATAGTGTAGAACTGTCCCACTATCCCATATGGGTCCTTACCTAACATTCTCTCTATCCCTTCTACTCTCATCATTTTGACAGGATGTTTTGAAATTTCACTCTTCAAATCCACCACTGCATTATTATTCCTGAATCTAATACGCTCGTTTGCATAGTCAAAGTTGATTGGACCAAATTTGTGAATCCATTTTTCTCCTAACATCATGTCACTTCCTGCAAGCTTAAGAGTTTTGAGATTGTATTGAAATTCCCTGCTACCTTCCAAACCACTAGTTGATATGCAGCTTTACTTTCCAGTTTGTGATCATTGACTACCCTAACGATCACTCAGTTGTTCTCATCAGTGGCGTAGTTCAATTCCCTAATTGTTTCTCATCAACAAAGCTATTAATATCCCCACTGTCAATCAGTATGGACACCTTCCTCCCTTTGATCATTCTAGAACCTCTAATGGTTTGGTGTTTCCACCTCCCAACCACTGCATTAATGGATATCTCCATGATCTCCTCACGTTCTGATTCAGAGCCTTTATCATCATTTGTTTCCAGTTGTTTAATTTTGCTAAATGTCTCAACCACATCTTCCCCAGTAGTTTCCGAAAACCTACTGCAAAGCTTCTCAGAAAACAAGCTCCAGTCTGCTTTAGGGTGACTGGCAATGAACCCATCAAACCATATATCTGCTTTCCCCGTCAAGTACTTCTCAGCCATTCCCAGCCTCAGTTCATCAGAAATCTGACGGAGTTGGAAGTATTTTCTGGCTCCCCTCAACCATTCTTTAGGTCCCTCTTCAAGTGTGGGAAATCAATTTTAGGTAGATTAGTGCCTTCCCTGATTCTACGTCTAGAACGGCTACTATTCTCTCGACCACTACTTCCTTGTATGGTTAACATACTACCAGATCTAATGTTAGTCATGGATCCTTCCACACTCTTATTCTCCTTTTCAGCTTCAAAATCAGCAGTCATTTGGGCCATTATAGTCGCTAATTTTTCATACTTTTGATTTATGTCTAATACAGCATTTGCCTATGACAAAGTACCTGAAGTGTTTGCTCTGAAGACTCCATTCTGGCTTCCAGTTTGTTGGTAACAGCTTTGAAGGCTTTACCCATATCTGCAACCTCTAAATCCAGTTTCTGCAAATGGTTATCTACAACTTTGGCCCGTGTATACATGGTTTGTGAATGGCAAGTATAATACGTCTACTCTGATACCATTTTGGAATTTGACCGCAATGTTTAAAAAGACGTAATTGGGTACTCAGGCATTTTTCCTTCACGATGCGAAGCTTAAGCCTCATAGTAAACCAAAAAGATATTAAAATGCCAAAATAAGTTCATAATATGTCATAAACAATCTTCAAAATTCATAATCGAACAATTTAAACTGTGCAAACAAATTAAAAAAAAAAAAAAAACTATATAGAAAATTATTTTAGTTGGTAGGGGCAGTGGACTGTACCCAAAGTGTTTTATGTTTTAGCGGGCTATTCTCAAAAATGGGTTTATCACAAATGTTTATGTTTTACGGACCACAAGCCTTTGAGGTGGTGCTGTGCGGCGTACAACTCCAAAAACTGCCTCATTATTAGGGCCTTGAGGCCTTTTGTTCAACTCACTTTGAGGAGGGCCTTAAAGCGGGTATCATTTGGTTTTTTCTAAACAATTTTTGACAGTATAACATGTACTCTTAGCTGTCCCTTCTTTTGTTTCCAAATAAATACAGCATACACTCTTTTGGGCATATGTCGTGTATCTTTGGCACAAAATATCACAACTTAAGTGAAACTAAATTAAAATGTCTGTATGGCCTGTACTCTCGGTTTTATTGATATTTATGATTGAAAATGGGGGAAAACATTAGGATCTAAAGTGTGAGATCTTCCCACTTTTGACATAATTTATAAGGTAAAACCATTGGTACACCATGGTGTACAGTCCCCTCACATGTTAAGGGGGGTCCACATGAATAAAAAATTTGTGGGTCTCCTCATTGTGAGGGGAATGTAAAAGTGTACAGCACTTGCACTAAGTAGAACCCTTTATAATTTATAAGTGCTGACTGTCCAAGATTGGTATCCTCAATGTGAATTAGTATATTGGCTAAGTGTATTGTGGTAAATTGTTGTGATTGACTTGCAATTATTGTATAGTTAGTAATTTGTAATGATATGATAAATTTCTGTTAGCATGGTGGAAAGTTATTTTCTAGTTCCATTATGCATATTCGACTCTCGTCCATGAAATAATGAAAGATATTGCACTCTGAATCTTATTAGTTTGATGACAATGATAGGACGAGGAGGAATTGGAAGCCTAATGTGCAGGAGAAACGACTCTTCAGCTACATTCTTGATCGCCACATTCGTGTTAAGGTAACCACGCACGCTATCCGCTGCATCGATAAGGCAGGCGGGATTGACAAGTACTTGCTGAAAACTCCGTACCACAAGATGGACGCAGAGATGGGCCTCTTCTGGAAAGCGAAAGTTGATAAGATGTACGAACAACTTGGGGAGATGGAGGTAGTTTTCTTCACACCTGAAGATGAGGATCGTTTAGAAGAGCAATTTAGAGAAATCAAATTAGCTGAGCGAGCAGCACGTGGGGATGGCCGGAGAAAAATGTATGGTTGGTCCGGCAAAAGAGACGATGGAGCAGATGCAGAAGCAGCACATGAAGAACCTTCTGGCAGCGAAGAAGGAAGCCTGCATGCTGACATTCATGAGCAGATGGTAGCTAATGCTTGATTATATGGGCTGCCAGATTTTTGTAGCTTGATCTCTTTTGATGTCTCCCTTTTAATGTTGTTGCCTATAAATTGCTTAGGCTGGTTTATTTTTTATTTTTTAACACAATTGGCCAAGCATTAATCTATACATGGGCATGGTAGGCTTGGTACGGTCAAGATAGGAAGCTAGTCCATTAAGCTCCCGTTTGACCCCATTTTTTGGAAATAAAAATGGGTGGAATGATATTTTTTTGAAAAATGAGTGGTTGAAAAGGAAGAAAAAGTTTTCAGTTTACTTGGAATATTATTTTACGGAAGATTGTGTAGTTGAAAATAAAAAAGAGAAAAATGGAATGAAAATAATAGATTGAGATGAATGTGGAATTATTTTACAATTGTATTCAACGATTGAATTTTTCGTTTCTTGTGATATGAGATGCCCCAAATAAAATAGTGAAATGTAGAAAATTAGTCGACACTCAACTCCCATAAAAGTTAATTGAATTGATAAAGTCAATGTAGTCCTTGTCCGGCACGATAAACACAAATCTGATATTGGAATATATTTTGGATTTGGTCTTCCACTAATGTTTATTGCCATTAATAAATCAATCCTGCTTGAAGGACCTGTGAAACAGGTCCCCTGCCAGGACACATACACAGTGGGGTCCATCGTAGTTTTTTTTTTTTTTTTTTCTTTTTCTTTTCATGTGAGGACATGCTACAGTGAGGGACCTGGCAGACCCCTGTGAAATTAATCCATGTACTCGAGATTAATTATTAATCAAACTGATCCCACTAACTTGTCTAGTTTTTGGACTTCTGATTCACACATAAAGCTGTAAAGCATGTGACTCGTCTAGTTACTTATAAGTTAGAGAGCCAAGTCGAGCAAGCCATACTTGCTACCTTCGCTCTGGGTTAGTCCAAACAAGGGACTGCTTGCATATAACTTTGATGGCTGAATTTGAATTTCAGGTATGTAACTTCGAAATTTTTAGCCCCCGTTTGACCCTCATTTTTTTTTTCTAAATTTTAATGTTTGGAATAGCATTTTTTTTGAAAAATGTGTGGTTGAAAAAGAATGAAAAGTTTTCGATTTACATGTAATATTATTTTATAGAATATTATGTGGTTGAAAATAAGAAGGAAAAAAATGAAAGAGAATGAGAGCCATTAACATAAAAGCATATTTTAAATCTACTTTTGGGTTAGCTAGATGGTAAAAATATCGTGCTAGTGTATCGTTCCTACATCATAGTGTATGTTTGAGACCCCATTTTCTTAAAGAATGGATTTTGTAACAGCGATTTTTTTGGAGAATGTATAGTTAAAAAATATGAAAAATTTTTGGATTTATGTGTAAAACTATTTTATTGGAAGAATGTGTGATTGAAAATAAATTTTTAAAAAAAAAAAAAAAATATATATATATATATATATATATATATAGTGTATAACCGTGGCTTGAATAGGAGCTTATTCACATCTCCATTAATATAGCAAGACATGGTAAAATAAAAGTAAATATTTAATGACTAACTTGAACCGATAAATTCAAAGGAAATTATTTTATAGCATCAATTGGTTCTTACATAGCCTCCGGTTGACAAAATTTATTTTACTCATACAATATTAGATCAATAAATATTATTTACTTGTTTATAATTTCATATGTAGTTTTCACCTATTTATATATTAAACCGATATTATGATGATACTAGGCAGTATAGATATAATTATGGAAGAAGTTGATCATTGAAATACTAACGAAACCATTCATTTGCCATTAATAAAGGGACAGCAATCACATGCGGAGTATTGTTTGGATCAAATAAGTAATCACATATAATTTTAATAAAAAAAATATTTAAAGAGAAACGAAATTTGTTGATTCCATTAAGAAAAAAGATATGATCATAATTTCTTATAGGATTGGAAATGATCCAATTCGGTTTTAAAGAGGACTGAATCAAATCTGAATTTTCGAGTATGTAATAAATAGAATCGTTGGTCGAAATTTAATTATGGAACAGTTCAGGTTCGATTCCATTCAATTCAATTAGGTTTCGATTCCATTCAGTTTCTGAGATCCATACAATGATTAAGTTTTTTTAATATTTACAATACTATATTAATTCAACTAATGATATATTTAATTTTAGTTCTTACAAAATAACATAGTCCAATTTGTCTATCTCTTGCGTATCTCTTTGTTGAGTTATTCATATATTTGATTGTTAAAATCACAATAAAATAAAAATAGCGAGCTCATAACAATGAAGAGAGCTTAGAGAGGTATAACCAAGCTTTCAGTTTGATTGTTCTAGAATTGAAGAAATGACACTACGTTAGAATTATAAATTTTGGTAAAAATTAGGTCGATTTGATTAACATGGACTTGAGTTGAAAATTAGAAATAGAAAAATCATATTTTGGGTTTTTTGGCTAAATTAATTGTTAACAAATTTATTTTTAAAAAATAATAAATTGAGTTATTTAAGATAAATAAATTTAAAATATCAGGGAGATTCGATTCTTCGATTCTTCTTCTAGAACTTAGAATCAAACCAAATATGTCAGTTCTCGATTCAAGTACATTTTGGGTATTTAACTTAAAAAAGAACCACTCGATTCGATTCGAAAGTTTTGTCCATCTCTAATTTCTTAAACATTTACTCATGCATAATTTTTATTTTTATTTTTCGAAATTTATGGATTTTATGTGACAAATATTGCTCTATCTAAATCAAGTATACACGTATATGAATATAATTTCAATATGGTGCACCTAATATTTTATATATGATACTAATGGAATAATATAAATTTTATATATGAATAAAGTTATTTATAAATACGAATAAAATAATTTTACAGCTTGTTTGAAAAATATTTATAAATGGTTTTGTTCATAAATAAATATAAGTGATAAATAAACAAATAATGGCAACATTTTTTTACGCTTTATAATTATTTATAATCACTTTTCAATACATGCTATAATACATTGGATAGAAATTATCTCCTACCATTCATGAATAGGTGTTCATATATTGTACATTGGATTCCCTATTTTTTGATGTTAAACCAAAAATAATAAAATAATAAAAAAAATCTGACACGTTGGATTCACATGTGTGGTGGACCCTGCTGACATTTGCTTCTCACAATTCTTACACAATTTTTCATGAATTATTGACCGCTTGATTAACTGAGAGTAAGAGATAAATTCTGGAATTATAGCCTTAGGATTGCCTCGGGAATTGCATTGCATCACAGACACGTGTTGGTGGGCACCAAATACATAAGAATGTCAATGAGTTAAGTTGAGCCAAAAACCAAAACTTGAAGCATGGGCCGGCTCGAATAAAAATGGTCTCAGCGTTTTTGGCTGAGCAGAGCCGCTTTTTCATTTTCCATATCTTTAGGTCTTTTACCCAAAGAACTTAGGGCCTGTTTGGGCCCGATTTTTTCACCCAAAAAATTGATTTTTTTACTGTTATTTCACTATCTAGCCGTCATATTTGATTTCTTCTCTCATAGGTGGACCTCACTTTTCTCCTAACAGTCAAAAAATCAATTCTCAAAATCACTCTCAAACGGGCTCTTAGTTTGTGGACTTTATAAACTAATCTTTTTTTTGACTAAACTTTTTAAATAAAAGCCCCATGAATTTTGGGGGTGAATGAATATGGATATCATGTTTAATTAAATTTTGTTAATTATAATTGTTGAAATGTTATTATAACATGATATTTGAAATTTAGCCATGTTTGGTTGTGATTAGAATTTAGATTTTAATTTAAGTCAAAGTTAACAATTAATTTTAATATTATATTTTATAGATTTTACAATTTTTCAACTACACATTTAATCAACTTTTATCAAAATCTACTAAAAATTTAATTTTAATCCCACCAAACAGAGGGCTTAAACTAATCCCCTTATTTATGATAATTAGTCTTTAATTGTAGTTTTTAAAGTAATTTTCCTCAAGAAAAAAAAGATATAAAAAAATTCTGTTGAAAAGTATTATAATTATAGATGGAGTTGACAAAAATTATCAGAATCATTGGACCGAACCATTATAGGATCGAAATCGCTCGATTCGATCGATTCTTCTCAAACTCTATTGGACTGAACCATAATCGTTTTTTGCTTTTTCTAGTATTATGATATTATTATTTCTAATACCAAAAATCAATTTATAGAAAATATTGTTAGTCGCATTTATTAAATTACTCCAAAATATTTATTTATTATGAATTGTTAATTGTTTGTCAATTATGTTTGAAAAATATTATTAATTTTTTAAAAATATTATAATAAGATTTATAACGATACTTTTTTTTTTTAAATGAAATATTTTATCTAAGCCCCAATTTGGTTTAGATAAAAATCAATTTTTTAATAGATTTTGATAAAAAAAAATGATGGAATGTGTGGTTCAAAAATTGTATCCTATAAAATGTATGGTTAAAAAAATTATTAATTTTGACTTAGATTTTAATTAAATTTTATAGCCGAACCAAAAAGGGTCTAATGAAAAGTATGAAATCTTAAGAAATAAGAAAAGAAAAATATATAATTTAAATATAATAGTATGGTAATTTTAACCAATGCTTGATGTTCATTAAAAAGATTTTTTTTAGGGAAAATGAGTTTTTAAATAGTATTTTTTGAAAAATGTGCGGTTAAAAAGTAAGAAAATGTTTTGAGTTTACGTTAAAATATTTCATTGGAAGAATGGGAACTTGAAAATGAGTTTCTAAAAAGAGAGAGACGGAGAGTTTGAAAAATGAAAGACAAACATGAGCTTAAAATAGAATAAGAAGTGTATATTTATTTTAAACTTTTTGTTGACATGGAAAAATCTGTTACAAAAACTAAAACCTTAAGGGAAGTTTTCTAAAATTTTAGAAAAATGAGAGATGTCTCTATAAATTCTCGTAAACCTCAGGCAAGTTTATACATTTTGCTAAAAACAAAACACTATGAGTTTGTGATATGTTGGTTTTTTAAAAGTAATATTTTTGAGAATACATTGTTAAAAATTCGAAAAAAAAATTATAGCTCCACATGCAAAAGTATTTTATTGAGAAAAAAAACTCTTTTATAAATTATTTTCTCATACTAATTAAAATAGTTTTCTAATGA